CCCGCTGGGAGCTGTCCAGTGCTGAAGCCGCGCCGACAGCCAATCGCGCCGGCCGGCCGCCTCCCCCACCGGGCCTCCAGTGCCCCGCGAGCCCCCCGCCCGGCGGCACCATGCCGCGTTCCTTCCTGGTGAAGAAGATCAAAGCGGATGGCTTCCAGTGCAGCGGGGTGCCAGCCCCCATCTACCACCCCCTGGAGACTGCCTACGTGCTGCCCGGTGCCCGCGGGCCTCCAGGGGACAACGGTGAGTGGGCCCTAGGGGTGAGGGGGGCTCCCCAACTTGGGCCGCAGAAGGGAACCCCGGCGGAGACGTCCCTGGCCGAGTGCGCCCCTGGGACTTACTGAAGGCCTGCCGGGCGGGGCTGGGGCTAGGTCGTACAAAGGAAAGTGGCAGGGTCGGCTGATCCCGCAGCCACGCGCCAGCCGGGACTTTGAAAGTTGTGGCCCTAGAATACGGCTGGAGTGAGGGGGTGACAGAGAGAGGACGCCCCTAAAAAGCTAGTAGGGGCAGCTTGGAGTACCCCCTCACTGTCGAAGGAGAGCGACTGGCTGCCCGTGTGATCCCTGATGGGAAGGTAAGGGACCAGGACTGCCGGTCCCTGGGGAGAGGAGATTGGCTCTCTGGGGAAAGTGGGAGCACCCCGCCTCCCTTCAACCATACTCCCCCTGGCAATGCCAGACAAGTGCTCTCCAGCCTTCCTCTCTCCAACTCTTTTGTTACCCTCTGCCACATGCCTGCCAAAGGCTGGGCCTGTCCTAGGGACTCAAAGGATGAGATTATTGGGAGAGGTTCCGCCCGCGTGTCTCGTGGTCCACTGGACTGCACTCCTCTCCGGCTCCTCACCCCCAGCAACCAAACCTGCTGCTCCTCTGAAACCCTCCACGTCCTACCCCACCCCCACTCCCCATCTCTTCTTAGAGCAAGTTCTTATAAAGGAGAAGGGTTTGGGGGACAAGAGAGGTCATTCGAGCCCCAAAGGGGGTGACATTCTGATGTCAGGAGAAGGGTGCTTCTGGGAGCCGAGGGGCTCGCCGAGGGGGCGATGGTAATAGCACTCAACAGCCCCACCAGGACGGGTGTCTGGGAAGGAGGAGTCACTTCGGGAGTGAGACATCTGACATCACAGGGGTGGGAGACGAAGGGAGACGAGCAAGGCACTAAGAATGAGTCTGAACTGGGAACTGAAGTGGCAGGCAGGAACCCGGGAGGTTGGGAGCATCTCCTAGAGGACTTCCAGGCACTCCGCCACATGCCAGCACGCTGCCAAGCCAGGTAGAGAAGGTGCTGAGCCAAGGGCTCTGTGACCTCATCAAGGTCACAGAAGTTAGGCAGCGATCACAGTGCTTCGTAGAGCCCCTTGGCCTCTGGCTCCACTCAGCTACCCGCACAACCCTCCACTCCTTTGCCCACATCTTCCACTCCGCTGTCCTCTTTTCTTGACCTCCAGGACCTTGGGGTGGAAGCTCAGGGAGATGTCTGGGCTGAGGGCTGGCAGGACCGAGGGTGGACCTGGCGGCGTGCCAAGGCTGGGGAACATGTGCCGGGAGCCGGTAGGAAGTGAAGTCTCCAAGGGTCTGGGATCCATAGGATCCCTTAGGAGACTGACATAAAAACTCTCCTGAGGCCCCCTTGATCCTGTCCCTGAGCCAACTGAGGAAACCCAGAGAATTTCACAGCCAAACTGCAGGCTGTTCCTCAGGAGGGAGGCAAGAAATGCCTGGCCTTGAATTTGGTCCAGGCAGGCTTTGTAAAGAACCTCTGCCTGAATGATGGGGGGTGCAGATGGAGACGGAGGTGTTTTACAGAGGTCCCGTTGGGTTCAGCAGCCTAGAACCACCCCTGCCTTTGTCCCTTTCCTAAAGGGATCTACTCCCTGGCCTCTGGGAAAGACTGGAGCTGCTCTAACCCACATGCCTGGCTTGGGACTCGATACAGTAGCTCTGGTCTGTGACTTGCACCGTGACCTTGGGCAAGTGCCTTCCTTTCTCTGGTCCTCAGCCTCCCCAGCAGTGCAAGAGTTTAGATGTTATGAACTAAACATCCTTCCAACTTTGACAAGCTCAGTTTCTGTGGAAGGTGAGCTGATGGGGGGAGACACTGGATCTAAGGGAATGCTGGGATCCACGGTCACTGTTTCCTTGAGGCTCTCTTCACCTGCTATGAGAGGGGAAGTCTTCCCAGATTTGGTCTCTGCCAGCTGCCTCGTGGTAGAATAGGGTACCCATCTTGCCCTGTCCGCTGTGAATGGCCAGTGTGGAAATCAGGAAGGATGGCCCTCTAGCCTTTCAACTAGAAAGCATAGGGTCTGTTCTGTCTTGTTTTTCAAGGGCCTCTTCCCTCGATGGGGTGTGGCCAGACTGGGCAATGAGGGCTCCCTGAGTGGGTAAGTGTTCTGAGGGTCCTCAGAGAGCCTGCTGGCTCCTGGTGGCCTGTTGTCTCTCCGCTCTGCCGGAAATAACCTTGCTGAGCATTTGAGGGAAGTGTGAAAAATTGCTGAGCTGACGATTTTCCCCTCTCTCCCAGCGTGTGTAAGTGTGCTGGGTAAACAAGGAGAAAGAAAGGAGGAGGGAGATGAGGAGAAAGAGGGAGGGATGGAGAGAGGAGGAGGAAGGAGGAGGGAGGGCCAGGGGCTGGAGGTAGTTCCAGTTATTAGAAAGATCCTCTTACAAGCCATTTCTGCAGCTTGGGCTGCAGGGTCAGGATGAGGCTGGGGGTGGGGGCCAGGAGGGAGGGAACTAAATGTAAAAGTCAGAGGAACAGGCTTCCTCATAAAGGCATAGGACCCCAAATGAGGTGGATCCCAGCTCTGGGAGTGCCTAAAAATTCTAGAGAATTCCTGAAGAACCCCACACACATCACATACATGCACAAGCTCCCTCCCCCTCCCCCACTCTCTTTTTAGCCTCTAAAGGTAAACATCATGTGTACATGGTTCCAGACCAACTCCAGGCCTACAGAACCTCAAATAGAGAAGGGACACCCCTCCAAGCTGGAAGAACTCAAGAGAAAGTCTTTCGGAGCTCCCGGAAGAAAAGAGACAAGGTCCTAATTCCCCCAGCTTTCATTAAGATGCACCCTCCCCTTGGTCCTGTGTCCCCCTCTACAGTTGGTTTTCTCCAGGGAGCCTTCTCCTTTCTCTGTTCCCAGGGTGACTCTGAGCATAGATTTATCCCTCTGAGAAGTGCCAACGCCTGTTCTCCTTCGTCCTCACAAAACCTAGCCTCCAACTCTACCAAGGCCACCCTCTTGGCTCCAGAGTCCATTGCTGTGCTGGGACTCCGCAGTGAGGAGAAGGCAGCTGCTTACTGTCTGCTTATCAGTGGTCTCTGTGGACCCCGGCCAAGGACATCTCCTCTAGTGCCCACCTCCCTTCACACTTGTCTCTGACCTCCAGCTGGGAGCCAGGGCCCCTCCCTCTCTACCCCAGCCTTGTCCTCCCCACACCCTTCCAGAGTGTACCCTCCCTGGCAGACAGGGATCAATGCCGATCCAATAACACTGTTGTCTGCCCTCTGCAGCTACATTAAGGCTCCCCTAGCCGGCTGAAGAGCGCGCCTCTCCTACCCCTGGGCTTATCTAGCTGACCACATTATACTGGCTTCCACTTCCTTTCACTGCCTCTGATGGCGCCGAGTAGTCGCTCCAGAGCTAGGCTTGGGAGCCCGGCTAAATAGACCCATCCTTCCCACACCTCAGAAAGTCCATCTGGGGATGCAGGGGGCTATCCCAATCCCTCAGCAGAGGGAACCCAGAGAAGGCTGGGTAGGTGCCCAAGAACACACAGCAGGCCCATGTATTTGTAACCACATAGCCTTTGGCATATTGATCTTGGTCTAGAGTTGAGGTCCAGATTAAAGACATGTACATGTCCAAGTCCAATATTTATATCCAACTTCAGATTGAGGACTAGGCCCAAACTCTAGGTCCAAGGTGAGTGTCTAAGGTTATAGGACCAGGTCTGATATCCAGAACATATTCAACGCCTAGAAACTGGTCCAGCTCAAGATTCTGGGTCCAGAACTAAGATCTAGGTTCAATTTCCAGTCCAAGGTCATTCCAGATCATCTTAAGCTTGGCCAGGGTAGAATTTTTTGGATGGCTTTAGCTCATCTCCCTCAGCCTCAGTTTCTCTCTCACGAAAGAGTAAGCTGAGCATGACCTAGTTCAGCTCTGACTGGGGACTCAAGAGTCAGTTTACCTATCGGGGCTCAGTGGGAGTATGGAAAAGTAGGGCCCTTACAGACTATGTGATCTGGGTCCTCTAGGAAGTCGGGAGCTGGCAGTGACTCCTGAGAGAAGGCAGGACAGTACTCAGGGCCCTTGTACCGGTCACAGCACACAGTCTCTGGGGCCACACACGTGTGCACACGTACTCACTCTGCTAAGAAAGGACAGCTCAGGAGAATTGCTGCCGTCTACGGAGCAGAAGAGGTAGGGAGGGGGGCTGGAATCTGAAGAGCATAGATGATGGAGCCTATCACACACCACAGCCTGGGGGCCTTAGTGGGAACAGGGTTGAGAGGCTGCTGAGAGAGCTGGGGGCCCCAGGCCTCTGGGCCTGCTTTCCCGGGTTTCCTCCTGGAGTGGGTATCTGCTGCCAGTCTCTGGGTAAGGGGCTTTGGAAGGGGATCTTTTGATTGTACCCCTCCGAGGCAGAGAAAGGGAAGGGCAGAACCCAGAAACACTGAGGAGAAGGTAGGCTGTGTGCACCTGTGTTCAGGAAGCCCAGAACCAGCCAGGCATAATGCCTTCCACGGGGTAGTAGGACATGGTCTCACCAGCCAGGGCTAATAACTCCAAACCTGGAGCCACATACTCCCCTCACCACAGCCCCTCACAAAGTCCTTCCTATTGATTCCCACAGAGCTGTGGGCCTCCCTATGAGACACAGGAACTGGGTCACCGACAGGAAAGCCCAGAACACAGGGAATTTCAGGAGTCAGGGTGGGGAAGGAAGAGCTGGAATTCTCTAAAAGCCTTTTGGGCCTGGGTCAGTGGGCATCAGCCCCAGGCTCTGCAGCCCTGGTTGTGTTCAGCCAGACCCCTCATTCTGCCCCCTGCACCCCTGTGGGCAGATGTACAGATGTACCAGCTGCCAGGCCTTTGGAGAAGGTGGGTGTCATTCTGGTCCAGTGCCCAGGGAACAGCTAACAAAGATGCTATAATAGGGGGAGGGGGAGGTACCCAGCCCCTTTGCCCAGCTCTCTGCGCAGACAGGAGAAACTATTTTTATCCTGCTTTGC